CGTGTTACCACGATCTCTTCCCTCTCCCTTTCTTATCTCTCGTCCACCGAAAAGGGCGCCTGTCTTTCGAGAGTGGCTACCTCGAAAGAGTGTCGAAGAGAGAGAGAGAGAGAGGAAGAGACCCGTACAGGCGTGGGTGGGAGGATGATGATGAATGGATGTCGGGGAAGAGAGAGAAGGCTTTCGAACGGTACACAAAGGGATGAACTTTGCTGGAACGGATCTGGGACAGTGATTGTATTTTCTGCAGGCGAGAATTGAACAGAGGTTGAAGAGACTGTTTGAGAAAAATTGTCGCTCCGTGAACCGTTACGTCATTCTTCCTCCTCTTCCTCCTCCTCTCCCTCTCTTTCCTCCAAGATGCGGGCGATGACTTTGCACGACGATAATTAGCCGATCCCTGATACTTTTGTCTTCTCGGCCAACTTTCATAATCAATGGCGATCAATCGAAACGTTGTTATAGGGGAGGAGGAGGGGAGGAGAGGAAGGAAGGAACACCTGCGTACATCCTCTCCGTTTTTTTCTTGAAAATTTACGACCCGTTCCCATTGAATTAGAGTGGATCCCTCTGGTGATCAGGTGCAAAGAATTCATCTACCAAATTGTCGGTCTAATTATTTTAATTAAAATTACTTTTCTTTACACTTTTATATTTGAATTATATACACGTGTGTCGTTTACAGAGTGATCTTTACAAGATTGGAAAATACTTGAAAAGGAATACTTTTCCCTATTTAGTCATTTATTATCAAGATGAAACTACGGAGATATAATTTCCGGAAAGAGAAACTCTTTAATTAAAACCTCGACAATGATTATCGATCGACTTGTGACCACGGCTAAGTAAAGCGAAAGGGATTTCATCTTTCTCTTTTTCTTTTTTTCTCTTTTCATTTGCTTTTCAAAAAAAGAAGAAAAGCAATTTCTGGCGCACAGAGAATTCCTTTTGACGTATGTAGACTATATAAAACTACGTGTGTAAGTATTCAGTGTTTCCGCGAACGCTTTTCTTCTTTCTTCTTTTTCTTAATCGTCCCTTTCCTTCTCCTCGCGTTCCCACGCTAATTTTTACATTCGTTAAAGTTAATAATCATCGCCTTACGTTCTCAACGTTACGTACGTACGTAACGAAACAATAGCGAACATGAGAGAGAAAGAGAGAGGAGTTTTTAAATATTCATCGCGCAGTGTTCGTAGCAGGAACAAATCCTTTCTTTCCACCGCAGAGCGTAAAATTTCCTGAAAAAAAAAAAAAAAAAAAAAAAAAAAAAAAAAAAAAAAATAAAAGAAAAAAAAAAATTCGCTTGCTGTTATATACGTATATATATATATATATAGCGCGTGTAACGCTGTACACTTTTAAATGGAGGAAGGTCTCCCCGTGACCACCAGTTTGCATATACATTATTTATACGATCCAATTTTAACGCTCGAGGACGCCCGCCTGACGAACCTGAACCTCCAACGAAAAATGCATTTTGCAGTTGCGCCTGTCTCGAATTAAAATCGGATGAAAATTTTCGCGACCGATGTTTATCTCGGTCAAGGAGGGGAAGGAAATTAATTTCTCTCAATATTGACATTCCAAGTATAATCGTACAAGTCATGGCGTGTACGAAGGAAGCCGGTTTGAGTTTTATTCTATGCATAGTTGGCGTGCGTTTGTTTTATGAACCGTGTTGACGATTCTTTGGGGGGGAGTCTATCGCCGCGTGAAATTGTTGCCGAACAACGGCAAAGCGGGAGGAAAGCTTCGCAAACCTCGCCAAACCTCGGCAAACATCATTTTGTTAATGCATGGACAACTGCCGTTAAAACGGGAACAAAGGGGGAAATGTTTGTTTGTTTACGGGAATTATGAGAATTAAGCATTCGTAAGCTTAATGCAACGAAATGCATTGTATATCCTCGCTTTTAATTCACTTTTGATTCGCGTTTTCTTTAGAGACGATTCTTCCTTTCCATATCGGAGAATATAGGGAAATGCCCGGATGAAAGGATAAATAAAAGGAAGAAATACTGCTACTGAATTTTAACATCGCGTATGAAATTACGTTTCGTCGTAAAACAATTTTTTATTGCAACTAAAGTCGTTCGAAGATTATTGCACGCGTGTTGTTTCGAGTAGAAGTCAGCCGTGACTGCGAGTTTAAATGAAACTTGCTATCCTAACCCATGATCGGCGAAACGAGAAGGAAGGTGTTTGTGAAACTTGGTCCTAAAAATCTCGTCATTTTTCTCGCTGCGTGCTTTATTGCTCGCGCGAATGGGGATTGTGGAATTGGGATTTTGATAACAATTCGAGTCGCTGATGGAAGGATCGTAAAGTCAAGAGTTCAAGATGATTCTCCTTTTTCGAGTCCGAAAATCACGCCAATCCTCGAAATCCTTGGATACCTTTCCAAAATTATGAAAAATTTCCACGTTAAGTTTTAACACTTTCTTATTGTAATCTTATCGTAGAATACTCTGATGTAGATCCTCGAATTCAAACATCCTTCCATCTATCAGTTATGAAAAATTTTCATGGTTTCATCGTTAAGTTCCTCTTTTATTCCTTCATATTGTAAGTGATTAGTTTTCTCCAATCATATCCAAATTCTTATATCCTCTAATTCAAATGTTCATCCAATTTGAACCAATTACGAAAAATTTCCACGTTTTCAACTTTGACGAAGCATCCCCTTTGTTCTCTCACAACCAGTTAATTCATTCCAATCTTATTCAAAACTCTGATATCGATCCTCCGAATTTAAATATCCTTCCATCGATCAGTTGTGAAAAATTTTCATAGTTTCATCGTTAAGATCCT